AGAGATTTTTTTTTTTTTAAATTACTTACTGCGTAAAATTAACTTATATTTTATATGTGTAATATACAATGTTCAAACTGTAAATTTGTAAATTTTAAAATAGATTTGACAAATGTATATTATTTGTATATCATTTATTAAATAATAATTTAGAAAGAATTTGCGCACTTATAGCGTTGACTCCCATATTAGCCTCTTTATAATTAATTTTTTTTATATGCAATTGTAAAGAGTCTAATTATTTAATTAAATTTAATATATTGTATTATTTTTTTGAAACAGATTAATTAAAAAGTTTAAATTATAGAGCAAGTCTCACAAAGTTTCTTCGTTGCAGCAGATCGGACGAAATAATATTTCCAAGGGCGGGAGTGATCTGAAATCAAAAAACAAAATATTTTCTTGTAAACAGATGTAATAGCTATCGTGTAACGTAAGGTTTTTTTTTGAGAAATATGGAAAGTAGCTCGATTTGAAAAAAAAATTATTTTCATCTTAAAACGACAAAATCTTTTTCATCTTAAAAAGTTTGTTATAAATAAATGAGTTAACATATCAAAACAATCATACGTTACACGATAAATAATCTTCTTAAGAATATTCCTGCCAAAATTGAAGTCAATCGGATTGTTATAGTTTCAGAGAAAAGTTTACACCTGTCTTGAAAAATATGGTTTCGAGAAAAATGCAAAAAAAAATTCGAAACGATTTTTTTTATATAATAAAATGGCCTTACCTTTAATCTGCTATTCCAGCACCATACACTTCGCTTTCAGCTTCTAGAAAATGGCCACGGAGTGGCTCATACAAAAACACAAAAGATAGATACTCAGATAGAGGCTTCTTGGTTAGCTTGGTCAATGGCGCGCGATAAGCTGATTCGCCTCCCTATATATTCTTATAACTTGGCCAATTTTTGAACATTCATCTTTTTGACATTTTGACATCGGTCTTGTAGCTTAAAATATTTTAAAGGTTCAAACTTTTAAAAAATGCAAAAAAAATTTTTCGATTTTTTCAAAAAGAGTTTCAATTAGATTCCTTAAGACGATAAAAGAATTTACAATTTTAATTATCATTGAAGGGATATTCTCTAAGATGTCAAATTTTTTAAATTAAATTAAATTTTATTATTATAACATAATTATTATAACATATTATATTAATTTGACACATATGTAGTTAATTAATTTATTTAGTATTTACTTTATTACAATAATACATAAAGCGATCACATAATTCATTATCAATTACTGTACGTGTACATGTAAGGTGAATATTTCGCGATATTTCACAATATAGTTTCGCTATTCGACTATTCAACAAGATTCGTGTTTTCATGCAAATTTTTATCTGCATAAATGGGAACCATTTAAAGTTTTTATTCCCGACTAATCGATCAGAAACTGAATCGATCTCAAACAAATTCCTAAACAAATAAACATTTAAATACTGCTACAAAGTCTTTCTCGATTATTGCGTTGCAAATAGCACAATTGATTTTTATACTGCCTTATTATACATATAAATAACAGCTTGGTTTTAGAATCAAAACGAATAACAACGACGCAATGATATTGAAATAATATGATAATAACAAATTATAAGGCGAAATCTCACAATGTAAACATTAAAATGGCCATTCGAAACCTCAATAAAATTTGTATATACGTATAATTATTAATATATCTTTCGTATATACGTATTTTTTTAAATACGTTATATATATATATATACATATATTTATTTATTATCCCATTTTATATTATAATTATGCGCATAAATTGCTCATTCCCAACTACTATTACTATTTTTCAATGATTTTTTGAAGTTACAAGCGTCGCGTTTAATTAAAATTTTAAAGGCGATTTTTGGTCCTTATGATCTGTGGGGCTTCCACGGTGGCGGCGACGGCGACATTGGCTGAGGACTGGTTCTCCAAAATGGTGCCCCAGATTGCCGCGGCCACTCCACCGTGGGCCCCCTTCTCGGCATCAGTGTTCTTCTTAAAATTGTGCACCGAATAGCGATTGTACAAGCCCCAAATGCTATTCATCAATTTACTGTTGTACTTGAGTGGCATTAACTCCCAACCTACATATTTAAAAAATCAATGTATAAATTAAATTAAGAAAATTGAAGTGTATCCGTCTGAAACGAAAGTTGAATTTATAAAAATAGTGAAACAAATAAGAACATCTTTACTTACCCTCTAGAGGAGGCCTCGGATTGAATACGTTTTCCTTCTTTTCTTCAGTTTTTTCTTTTTTCTTCATCATAGAAACAGTTTGCTCTTCGTTATAGCGAACTTTACACACTGCGAAAGCACCCTGCGGAATGGAAGCCATTTTTCGACAGTCTACAAAATTGAATGTTATTATGAATAATTTATTGTACGATTAAATAATTAATGTTTCTTGTATTTTGATTAAAGTTTGATATGTTCTACAGTATTAATATTTTACATATAATACTATTCTTAATAATTGAATTTATATAAAACATTTATATTAGTAACTAATAAATTGATTTGCTCTTTATTATTGACATTATTTATGCTAAGATATTTCTTGATAACAAATTAAAATTACTAGTAATTAATTAGTAACGATATAACGATTTGAATTTTATCGATTAAATTGTTACGTTTATAATGAATATGTATACAATTGCAATACATGCATGTTTTACTATAAAAAAATAGATCTTTAAGAGATCCTATTATCACAAAAGAAAAAATTAGTTTAGCAGATATTAAATACTTTAATAAGGAAAATTTAAGAAGAAAATACATATATCTCGAATTTAGTCATGTGAATCAAAACAATACCAGAGTGTACAACTATAGTGTATATTACATCTATGTGCATGTGTGTGGGTTACGTATATCTTCCTATACATTTATAGCTATTTATGTCTCATTATCATGCCTTTCATATCGTTAAGCTTTGATCTTCGTACGTCTTATAAGTAAACGGAACAAAGTGAGCAGAATCAATTCTGCTAACTAATATTTTTATTTGTTGCTGAAAAGGTGTCAGAGGAAAAAACTTGTTCTGTAAGTTTTTTTAAAAAATGCTGTGTTTCACTAAAGAAAGATTAAATTAGTAGAACAATATATATAAATATACAAATATAGTATAACAAAAAATTATATTCAATAATAACGTAGGAATTTGTTGCTATCTAAATATCCAAGTTTTCAAATCCATTAATTGCAAAATAAATGTAAATAACAAATACAAATATTAAAATTAATTTGATCTACTTATTTTGTTTCACCAACTTACAAAACGTAATCTTTGATCATAAAGATAATTACGCCCCTTCATTACTTATAATATTATAAATGTCAAAGCACGTTTCTGTTTCATATAGGAATAATAAATCGCAATCACGCCCAGTTGACATAATAATGTATATATGTAATAATTTATCTTGGTTATATTTTATATACTTTATTTGTTCTTCTTTTGTTCTCTAAAATCTAAATGTGCATTTCATCCCTTTTTAAATTCGCAAAAACTCAAAGGAGTTCGCAAACGTTGTTAAAGTTGCGTTCTCATTTGAATAAATATTTTCTACGTTTTTCGCCAAATCCAACTGACCGATGCAATTCTCGAAAAGCAATTCCGTTATCTGTCTTTTCGTAAATTGTCTTTCTATCGCCAGGCTCGCCTTCGGTGTACTTCTTCTTTTCTTGTCTCGATTTGTCCTTCGAATTTCGATCCTCCGGGAAGCTTCAAGCCTCAGGCAACCGCCAACGATGATGGTCTCGGTAAGATTCATCAACCAAAGGAGAGCCTTGCTTTGTCGTCGATGTACGAGAGACTGTACTTCCGCTTTGCGTCGCTATTTGTTTGTTATCTGTGACTCGTCGTGCGTAGCTTCTTTTTGACTTCGGGATCTATTCCGAAATAATCCAACGTGATTACTGGTTCCCAACGCGACGGCGGTCATCACTTATAAGCTCGGTAGGGAAAAAAGCAAAGAAGATAGCGGGACCGAGACAGACAGAGAAAGAGAGATGCTTTTTTTATTCGTCATAATAAGAACGGCATATCGGCGGCCTTCGAGACACTGACGTTGCCCGACCACCGTGGACTCGGCCTTATCATCTTCAATGAGCAACCTCCAGTGTCGTAGTTTAATTCTGATGCAATACGAGAATTCAAAACTTAAATTCGAATAATACCGTACTGTAGGAGAAGAAAAAATATTTAAACAACGGGCATCTAAATATTTCAATTGAATTATAAGCGTAGAGATTACATTTCTTATTATTTAAATACCAACCGGAAACGATTTCAAATCGTTTATCAGACAGAACATTGAAAATCTTTTCTGAACGTTATTTTTCATATTAGCTTGCTAGCCTGAAGACCACAAACGAAGGTTTCTCAAGAAGGAGGACAAGACGTATCGTAATAAACAAATTTATCAAAACGAGACCGAGAACAAATGTTCATGCTTTTTATCATCGCGAATCTTATTATGGACGTAACTTTCCTTGTGTTAAATGTTTCTCCTTTGTCGTTTATCATAAATAGGACGGTTGCATCAATAATTGCATCAACATATAACAATGACGTTTTGTGCACGCTTCGATATTTATATTTATTGCATTTGAATAAAGCAAATAATTGGGCAAACTGTGTAATAAATATATTCCTTCGATCAATCTGTTTTAATTAATCTGTAATTTGACAAGACAAGTTCACTTGTTAAATGAAAAATTTGACAAAGTTTTGGATTTATTCATAATTATAACTTTTTAAATTATATTTATTTTTTTATAAAAATAAATAATTTTATAAAATAAGAAAATATATTATAAACATAACATAATTTTTGGAAAATAGTAAAAAATATCATGTACCACAAACACGATATACTTATTCGTACTCCGATATTACATTTTTTTTTCGGATATCCAGTAATTTTACGATCCGATGCATCCCTAATTTTCATTAGTTTCAATTTAAGATAACAATCTATAAACTATATCTATTTACTTTTCTATATTTCTATTTTTGCATTTCACTGAATGTTATTTAATGTATATATTTTACGATATGATAATTTTTTAAGCATACGAAACAGATAATTGCATACTTTCAGATTTTTACATGAAAAAAATCGAAGGAAACAATTCAACACTAAATATGAATTATTGTCTATGATATGAATTAACACATTCATTGTATTTAATCTACAATTTTTATACTTCAAACATTACTAGATTTGTAAATAAGTCAATAGAATATTTACATGGAATTTAATACTAATTTTTGTTACGTATTTTTATTATGATTTTTATTAGAGCACTGGATACTCCGAAGAGTATCCAATATTCGGTATTATCCGGCACTTTTTTTACGATCGGATATTATTTTAATATCCAAGAATATATCCGATTAAAATTTTATATTATTAACAAATTCAAGTAAAGAAATATATAAAATTTATAGATTCCTTAAAATTAATACAATGAAAAAATAACGGCAAATATATAAATGGGCATTAAGAGTCAGCGTTGGATATATTATATTATGCAATGCTAACTAATATCTATTAATATATACTTATTAAATTAAAAATCAATTTTATACGTTTCGGCTCACTATTTAAGCCATCCTCAGCAATAAAAAATTATCACTTATCGCACATAAATTAAATCTATTTTTATATCATTACATTGTTGATTTTTTATTATATAAATGTTCTATAAATAAGTATGCATACTTAATACTATAATATCTTAGATTAACAAAATTATAATTTTTTTCTTTAGTTTTTTTTTTAAAGATATTGTGCCGCGGAATCCAGTCGGATATTCGGAAAATATTAGATATCCAATTCAAAAAATTATCTTTCCGGATATTTATCCGGATACTGGATATCCGATATTACATTTTTTTTCGGATATTCGGTATCCGGTAATTTTACGATCCGATGCATCCCTAATTTTCATTAGTTTCAATTTAAGATAACAATCTATAAACTATATCTATTTACTTTTGATATTAAGGATTTATAATTTTACTAAAAATAAATCTCTTTTTCTTATTAATGTATATGTTCTTTTCTTATTATGTGTTTAAAATCATTATGAAATAAAAATTTTAACGATTTTTTTAATTAATTATTTTTTTTTTATTAAGTTTTGAGACAGAAAGAGAGAGGTATTATTATCGTAAACTGAACTTTGATTCTATAATATTTAATCAATGATTTTCTACATTTCAATGATTAATGGATGAACTATGAACATTGTTCACAGAGATGCAAATTATGTACAAAACATCTTTTTAATTAGTTTATTATTGAAATTATATACAAGTATAAAATATCACATTAATATCAATTGTAAGAAGGTTTCACATCTAACAAAATGTTATATATAATCAATGTTACATATAATAAAAGAAATATTAGATATAATCTCAATTATTTTAAATCATGAGACCAATTCGGCTTCCTCTTTTCCAGAAAACTTTGTATACCTTCCTGAGCATCTTTCATTTTCAGATTATTTACCATTTTTTCGGTGCCGAGAGCATATGCTGTCAATATATCAAGATTAATTTGTTCGTACAGGAATGTTTTACCAAAATGCATAATTGAGCGGCTTTTTATATTAATTGCATTTGTAATTTGACCAATTTCCTCATCTGAAATCGAAATTAAATATAACTTTAGCGCTGAGACACTATCGTATCTCTGGATAAGATACGTGAAAATGTACGTCATGATAAGTGAAATGTATACGTCATGATAAGTGAAAATGAATTGTGTAAATACGTTACTTTTTTATAACAATATATAATATAATATAGCAATATAATATATTACAATATAGCTGTACAGATTTAAGTTTATATGGGCTTTTAATTTTGGAAATGTTTCCGATTGCGAAAGTGTTAACATATACTGGTACACATATAACATATTAATATTTATATTATTTTCATTTTTTATCATAAAAAATTATTAAATTTTCGCAATCAGAAACTTTTCCAAAATTAAAAGCCCAAATAAACTTAAATCTGTACAGCTATATTGCTGCAGAGACTCGTCATTATCAAAATAAGAATAAAACTATAAAATTTTGTTGATATTAGAGTAAATACTTATACAAATAACTACTTGTTCTTTAAAATTGGAGGAACTTGTTACAAGCCTAAATAGAAAAAAATGTCAAAATTAAAAGCAAGAAACAGTGTTAAAAACAGTTTTAAAGTTAATTGCACATATGTATATTCAAAAAAATTAATTAAACACTTTTATATAAAAAAATTAATTATATACTTTAAACTATATATAAAAATATAATTTCGTATCTATAAATATTTTATAAGATATTTTTGAAAATATAAAAAATTTCTGCAAAATTTACAAATTAAATATCTATCTTTTAGTACTTTGTAGTACTTTGTAGTACTTAAAATACTACGAGAATAATTTATATTAAATTTTCGTGTTTTTCCGTCGAAAATACGTAAATAAATTTTTTCTTTCAAGATAAAACTAACTGGATCTGCACTCTGTTTAATCAATTTGAACTTCAAATATAAAAAGATGTGTCATTATATCAATGGCAATGCTTTTTTAAAATTTATAACTAGTCAGCATTACATTGATAACATATTTACACAGCTAGTTATAGCTATAAATTTTAAGAAATATACTTAGGTCAATCAGTTAAATATACTTTATAAAAAAACGCAACAATACTGTCAACGGTTGCGAATATGTTAATATTATTTATATATTCTCGAAAATGTGTGTGTGTGTGTGTGTGTGTGTGTGTGTGTTTTCTTATGAACTCTTAGAAAAAGATAATAAAAAGAAGGTAATTATTTTCTGCTTCTTTACAAAAATAATTTCAAATAGTTTTTCTTTTTAAATAGCTTAACTTCTTAAAATAATTAAAAATTAATTTACTATTTTTCGATTTAATTTTTGTATTACTTTTTCTAATCTTTCTCATTTTTTCATTGGTGACTTACCGAGCTTATCATTAGCCACAACTTTGCTAACGAGACCGTATTCGTAAGCTTCTTTGCCGGATATAGGCAATCCAGTAAACAGCATATACATTGCGTTCTTCCTTGGCACATTGCGTATCAATGGTATGGCTGGTGTCGAGCAAAATAACCCGACATTCGCTCTGTGAAAGACATTGAATAAAAAATAATAAGTAATATTTTCAATAATACTGAAATAATATAATCAATAATATATGATAAAAATTATGCGTTTTGCAGGTTTCTTCCATGTTCATCTATTCTTGGAATGCCAACATTTCGTGAACCTTGCAGTTCACTTCATCAGGGCGAGGAGCAGCTTGATGCAGTAACGCATAATCTTTATATAGAAAGGACCCATGGAGGTCTCAAGAATATTATATGATATTAATAATAATTATGTGACATTAAATCATGAAAAGTAAAATTTTGCGAGAGTACCCTGGAGTGGAGAACAAACTTCTTTCCGTGCACACCGCGATATCACACGCCACAACCAATTGACAGCCGGCTGCGGCTGCCAAACCGTCCACCGCTGCAATTATTGGCACCGGACTCTGACTGATGGCCCGCATCAACTCCGAGCAGGTCTCAAACACGTCCTTGTGAGATTTGATGTTCGTAGCCGTCTAAATGATGTGAGCCGATGATACTTTTTTCTGTGCGATGAGTATGAAGAAGAGCTCTTATGGAAGTGAGACCATAGCTACAAACCAGTTCCTTCAGATTGTGCCCGGCAGAAAACACCTTTCTTGATTCAGACATCAGTACGATCGACCGGAGATTCTTGTTGTCCTCATCTCTCTTGATCTCTGTCATCAAAGATTTTAGCATCCCTAGCGATAGGGAGTTGCAGGAAGAAGAGTCGCACATACAAATAGTTCTGACCTGATTGTGAAACAAAGGTAATTGATCTTTTGAGTAATGAAAAATAGATAATTGTAATTATCAATATAGTTGCTGAATTGTAATTGTAACTACTAGTAGAATTGGGATTTTAAGTTAGCAAAATTTGAAAACAATTATTGTTAATATTGCAAGTAAACAAAAATTTTTAATAATTTCTATAATACTAATAATTAAAATTTCAATTGTTATATATATATATATATACAAGTTTTCAAATTATCACAAATTTAATAAATATATAAATAATAGAGTTAAAATTGAATTATTTACATGGATAAAAAAATATAATTATAATGTCCATTTCTTAATGTAAGTTAATTTTAATCTCAATTTGTTTTTTTTATCTTTTTGTTGTAAGAATTAGAAAAAAATAAAGAGATAAATTAAATTGAGATTAAATAAGTTAATTTAGTAGAAATTAACATTAGTAGAAATGGGCATTAGAAGAGTAAAAATAAATAACATTTCTACCCCATTTTTTTCAGTTGTCTCCACATATTTCTTTTCGGTGGATAATGTTCTTGCGACATATCTTCCCTGCAATATAGAATAATATTATAGATTAACAATTTAAATTAATAATTATCACAAAACTAGTTAATGACAACTCGAATTTTCTCGCGTTGTTTGAAATGTTCCCGCAATTCTTTTGTTTTCTCGCAAACCAATCAGCATATGCGAATAAAATAGTTCCGTGACGCGTACACAACACTACAAAGTGCAACGTACACAATCGCGAATGATGATATCGTACCAACATTATATAATTATGTAGTTTTCCATTAGATTAAACACATAATGCAACATAAAATACCTGAGAAACGGTGAAACCATTTTTAGTAACGAATCTCGAGATAACTATCATTTCGTCACGACACTTTGTATACTTTGTATACAAGATTCTAGATAAGAAATTTAGGTTAGTTTGATGTGAGGTATCATACTTTGAATACTCGACAATACTGAACTCGACTTATACTGTGACATGAAACTTGTTTCCAAGGTATAATAAACAGCGCTTATCGTTGGGCAAGGTTAACATCATAATATGATATGGATGACATATCGTGAGCCCGCGAAATTTAAAAGGAAGAAATCGGTGCCTATTTTTAAATCAAAGTTGTAATTTTTTTAAACAAAAAAACTTCGAATTTTCATAGAAAATGCATCATAATTCTATCAATATCTAATGCAGTCAAAATAATATAGACCCTCACCAAGAAATTTTATTTTATTCATATTTTTTCAAACATTTTTTATGATTTGATATTGAAAAAGAGATGAAACAAGAAAATAAAATGCGCAAAATGTAAGCAAAATGAAAAATCTTAATGCTTAACTAACAATCTCAATAAATAATCTCAACATATATCAATGATTAATTTATCAATATCTGTATAAGATACCATTTTATACATATAATTATTATATAAATAAAATTAATTTTTTGTTAATTATGAAAAAAAGATCATATTAGTAATTTTGATTATATAATTAAACATTCTTTAATAATAAAGTAATCGTGCCAATTGAATTAATTTTAGATATTATATTAATCGAAGTTTGATTGAAATCATGTGCACGTGTTCGACACATGCATGGCGATCAGCTGAGGCGCAATGTTCTCGACTGTAGATCTCTTCGAATGACAGATGTCATCAATGTTCAACATCATTTGAACACTGTAAATTCCATAAGCTCCAATTCTCTGACTTCAGAAATAAGATAAAAAAAAATTTATTAGAATAACATTGATATCTTCAAAATTATTTCTGCTTGAGTTATATATAGCTATGTGTTTCTTTTTTTTATAAAAAATATTTACATTAAGATATTTATATTATCTAGATATTTTTCTGCGAATATCCTGCATGTCTAACTCTTAATTTAATTTCTTAAAAACTTGTATATATTTTTTTCAAGAGAGATTTGTGTTTTATAGTTCAGTTCTCATATGTCTTTATTTTTATATAAAAGAATTTCAGAGTTTCTTTTATGCGTTAAGTTTAAATTGAAAATATTGCGAGAGGCTTTTGAGAAGTGCGATCCTGCCTCGAGCTTCGTGGCTGTTCTCCAAGGAGGGATTGGCAACGGCGTTCCCATAACGACCAGTGTTTCCCCTAACGACGAACATGGCTGAAGCTGAGGGTAAGTAAATGCGAGTGTGCATTGTCGCGCGGGTATATTTACGACGTGCGAGCGGCAAACAAAGTGAGAGATTCCCGGGTTGGTCCCATTTCTCTGTAGCTTTTCCCGCTACCGTCGTTGTGGTCCGCTTCCGGTTCCTCGTCGCGCTCGCTCCCCGTCCATTCTAATTATAGGGTAAACAGCACACGGCCGTGGTCACCGATGCACAGTTACGAGAAATATCGTGGAGAACCGCGACGAAAGAAGTTATCGACTCTCTATTTCGTAATAGAGGCTTTAAGACGGATTTTATGAGTGCACACATGGAATGATGCAAGGAAGATGCACATGGTAGATAATTGTTATAGTGTGCTTGTAGCCTTTTTTAATATCATTTATTTATATCACAGCGTGAATCTCCAGTTTAAGTTTATTTCAATAGACGCTTAAAAGAAAAACAATTAATAATAATATTGACTTGATAAATTTTTTTTTCTCCTTTTCTTCTTATAATAATTCAATTTGTTTGTTGTGTTGCTTGCTGTATATAGGATAAGAGTTGTTGTGGTTACTGGCGTAGTTATGGAAGGAAGAAGTAACATTAGAGAAGCTTTTTCTCCGAGGGAAATCGCGAATTTTTACGTAGAGAGAAAAAAATAATCAGTAAAGTTTAATTTAAGCCAGTTGTTTACTCTTTATCGTTATCTCAAATTGTGATGTCGAAGTGAGAAAATATATAATAAAAATTCCTGCAAAATATATTATATTAATTGCAAATATGTTTCAATAAAATCAAATTTAAATCGATAGAATATCAACTTGTAAAACATAAATTTGTATAAAAATTCTTTTTATTTCGTTAATTAACAAATAATCATATGTATTTGGAAATGAATAAAAATGAAATGAATTATAACAAACGGTAAATTAATAATAATATATATAGAAATATGAAATAATATTTAATTTCTCCGAAACAAGAAGATAATGTTTGATATATTTTATAAATCTGTTCTATATAATTACAAACGTTTTATTGAAAAATATTTCTATTTAAATATAATTTGCAAGAATTTTTATTGTGCTCTTCCTCTTTTCTGACGTCAATTGAGATAGTAGATAGTGATGAATAAATCTTAAATTATTTATTATTTATATTTTGAAGTGCTTGTGTTCGCGACAGCAACAAAAGAAATAGAAATTTATCTTCATATCAAAAATGAAAACTTGTTTTCGAATAATAATAAAATTTAATAATAAGGATGATATACTATGAATTTAATATTAAGGATGATATGTTAATATAAAATGTTATTGTAGATATAACGACAAGCAATATTTTCGATTATAATATAATTAGTGTAATAGAAGATCAAAGACTATATGTTTTGAAGTTGACTTCAGCAACGTTAATTTTTCATTTTCTTCAAAGAAGTTTCTAAAAGAATACGCGAATACCATCGAATATTTTTCTTTGACACCTCCACTTTACACTGTTTACTCGTGTTAGTGCAGCCAAGGTGTATTAAAGAAAGAGGCGAGAAAAGGAGCGAGATTCGCTTCGTGAGACGGCGAGTCGGGGCCGAAAATAAACTTCCGTCGCGAAGATACTCGCGGTTATAACGATTGTAAGAGCGGCGCTCTTACAAGAGCCGATCTGACCTCGCGAGTTCTCACACGTTCTCTCAGTCGGTGTCTTGATGCGCTCGTAATCAGATGCTGTGTTGTGTCCCGAAGAGACTCGCGGACGGGGGCCCGTTCTACGACGAGGCCCTGTTCCACGACGGGATCTTGTTTCATGACGAGACTGATAACAGTCCACTATCGTCCATTTGTGAGATTCAAACCGAGCTGTTTCCCGAAGGTGAGCCCGCGTTTTTTAAACATTGCTTCTCAGGTTCTCATTATTTCTTGAATTACATTGAGTAATTGAATGTTGTTCGCGCGAGCGTTCGAATCTTTTAAACGATTGGACGATGAATTGTTGGGAATGTGCATACTTTATGTTTATCTGGCCTCTATATTAGTTTCATAAAGTGTATTTTAGATAAGACTAAAGAATGCAAGATTAATCGCGTATAATTTAAAGAATTAGTGGATATTAAATATTTATAAACTATCGCGATCGAATCCTGTAAAAATTAACATGGTTCGATATTTTTGGAATTATGTTGAGTACTCTATCACTGTTGATACTATGTATTACACATTTAGAATACAAGTACTTTTGTTTATATTTATATAGATACCAGTTGATGTCCAAAAACTTATTTTCCAAATCAAAAGCCAAATAACTTCAATTAGTACACAGCATCGCATTATTATTGACACGTAATTATAACTTCTAAAAATTTATTAATTTGTTTGAAAAATATTAGAATTTGCTACAATAATTGCATAACAATTTTGAATGTTTTAATATTCTATCTTTCTTCTCTTTTAAATAAATTTCAATTTATGAAGTGCTTTAAATTAACAGAACAACTTCAGTAGCTATGCACGACTATCATTAATCATTATTACCTCGTTCCTCGAAGAGCTACCTTGAATTCCTTTTTATTTCACATTTAGTGTCGGTGAAAATATTTATTTTCCTGCTACTCGCACACGTCTAAAAGCGGCTGTAAGAATCGTAATAACACACCTCCGTCATGCATACTGATCAATTTGCACAGACTTAGCAATTGCATTAAGAGTCCCGTCGATCTTAGACGGGAGAAAAACGGCAATAGCTCTAGACGTGAAAAAGCAAAAAAAAGTCTTCACCGGTTTCCAACGCGCGCGACTCTGGAAGGAAAACGCAAACAGAATAGAAGCAATTGCGTTTGTGGGCGTCGCTAAGCGGTTTCGACGCAATGAGATCATTTTAACAGCGCCTGTTTGTTACGCATACGAATTACCGAAGATCTCTCGCTGCCGTAGATTAGTTGAAAAAGCGCAAAAAACGAAAATTTATCAAAATAAAAAAAAGCTTTAAATAAAAATTAAGAATTATAAATGATTTAATGGAATGGGTGACATATAGACTGCGAGGTAAAAGGATTTTATATACGCGTCATGAATAATATATAATGCGATCGTAATACACGCATTGTATAATTACATTGTGAAACCTGCGTAGCGAACGAAGGCAAATACCCGCATTCTCTCGACGCATTTAATAAGACGTAACTATCTTTCTCTTCGCATCGACATTGAAGAATATCTTCGGTATGAGATCAAATAATCTATTCGCTCGAATCTACGAAAAAAATAATGAATGAGAAAAGAATAAAAAATCGTTAACAACGAAATTATAAGCCTGTTTATTTTTAACTGAACTTGCATTAAAAATTAGTTTCTCTTTTATTTCCTTTTTCTCTCATTTGGAGAGAAAAAAAGAACAGATGAATCATGTAAGAAGTTCAGCTGAAAGAGAACACTTGTGTTTTAAGAAAGAGGAAGAAGGGGAGAAGAGAAGAGAAGAAAAGAGAAGAGAAGAGAAGAGAAGAAAAGGATCCGAGGACGGAAGGAACAGATACTCTTGCGTGTGTTCGTGACGGATAGGGGATACGTGTGACTCTCGCAGCGAGGCAACTCGAATCTCGGTGACGCCTAAAAAAGGAAGCTTGCTCACTCGAGAGGCGAGAGAGCCGAGCCTCGCGGGGGCGACCCCCTCGGCCTCTTCGATGTCCTCGACGTCCTCGTCGGCGCGAGTCGGCGCCGCAGGTGCGTCCACGCGACACGCGCACCTGAGAATTGGTCGTTTAATAGAATTGAGAAAACGAGGAGTCTCTCTCTCTCTCTCTCTCTCTCTCTCTCGAAGCGAGGTTCAATCGGATAAAAACCACGAAACTAACG